GCCACCTGGCCAGGAGAGGTGGCTTGGCGTCATGCCCCAGACACCCCCCTGCTCAGCAGACACCCTCTGCCCGGCATCCACGGTCCCCACGTGCTGTCGCTAAGGGATGACTAGTTACACCTGAGGCTCTAGGAGTTTCTGCAAAAGGCAGAGAACGATCCAAATGTCTGTCAAGAGGGACTTGTTATACGCGGGTCAGGCCACCCTTGGGATAGGACACGGAAGCATGCAGGGCTCATGACCTTACAGATTCGGAGCGAAGTCCAGGACATGCTGCTAAGTGGACAGAGTTCAAAGTAAAAGATGGTGTAGACCGAGAATCACAAACTGCGGCCCGCGAGCCACATCCGGCCCTCCCTCGGTTTCGTTAATAAAGTTTTACTGGCACACGCGCACACGCACGCGCACGCGCATTCGCTTCCATGTCATCTGTGGCGGCTTTTCTGCTCTGACAGCAGAGCCACGTTTGCAACTGAAACCTGCAGAGTCTGCCCTGCAGAGTCAAAAATATTTACTCTCTGGCATTTTCCAGAAAACGCTTGCTGCTTCCTGGTGCAGACAGTGCTGCCGCGTGTGTGGGAAGGAAACGTCGCACACGCATTTGCTGACGAGCGCCCAGGAGGGGCACCAGGCTGGTGGGAGGGACAGCAGGATGGGACTGGGGAGGCTGGGGCACAGGCGGGTTAAGAGGCCACCGTGTATGGAGGGGACTGAGCCCTAAGCACACGGCAGGTGGGGGTGTGGGGTGGAGGGGCAGGAGGCCAAGATGGGGAGGGGACGGCGCTGCCCCGCCTCCCCAGGGAAATGAGAAGGCTGCCGGTCCCGGCCGGCGCGGGGGCCGCTCCTTAAGAGGGCGAGTGGCCCCAGTTGCAAGCCCTGAGCGCTGACTGCACGCGAGCGCCATGCGGGTGCCCTCCTGTGTCCACCTCTGAGACAGAGACTATTTCACAGAGGGGAAACTGAGGCTCACACAGACACACCTGCACAGCCAAGAGATTTAGACCCAGGCCTGGCTGAGCCCAGAAGAAGATGGGCCGTCGGCTACAGGACCCCAAACCAGGCTTGGATGCGTGGGGGTTTGAGGGGACAGTGGGGCCGTCTGAGGTGGTTCAGGCCCCAAGGCCAGGATGACCTCACTGGTGGTTCTGATTAGTGTCGATGACATCCTCGAAGGTGAAGGTCAAACCGTCTGGGCCTCGGTTCTCGTTGCTCGGGGCTGGCCCGTGCGTGCTGGGGGCTGGGTCTGCCTGCCACGCTCCGTGCTCCCACTTCCTCCACACACGTGTGCACATGTACATGCGTGTTCACCCGTGTATGCACCTGCGCCCCACGCACGTCTGCGCGTGAGCATTTCCCCTGCGTATGCAGCTCTGCTAGGGTCCCCGTGAGTGCGTGTGGGTGGCAGCAGGCAGGGGTGGGGAGCAAGCACGTGGTTGCTGGGGGAGGCCGCGGCTGCCTGACCGAACCGCAAGCTCCTAATTAAACAGAAATGTTCATCGCGTACCACACTGCTCGATTCCTCGGAGTTTAATTAAAACAACAGCGCAGGAGGCGTGAGCAGCATCCACAATCAGACGGCGGAGGCGGAGGCAGTGCTGGCCCCACAGATCAGCTCAGACCTCCGCCACACAGCCAGATAAGATGGGGGCTCGGCCTGGGGCGGGGGACGCGGGGAGACCCGGCGCTCCTGGGTCAAGCCCCCCTGGGCTGGGTGTCCAGCCCGAGCACGCGCCATGTCCTTCCAGCAGCTGGAGCACACAGAGATGCCAAGGAGGCCTTGACGGGGCAGGGGGCAGGGACGTAGCGTTCCCAGACGCCCAGCGACCAGGAGCCGAATTCATTCACAGCTTGTTCTTTTAACTCTGACAGCGTACAATAGAGGCTGGCAGGGGACAACGGGAGGCAGGCTGTTCTGTCTGTGCCCGGGAAAGGTCAGGGCAAAAATATCTGCTGGGAAGGGGTGGGGTGAGCTGGGGCGTACGGTCTCCTCCCCCTCACCTCCTCCATCCTCCTCCCCCTCCCCCACAGGACCAGCTCCAGGACCCACATAAAATGAAACGATGGGACCTCTTGTTAAAAAAAAGTATTAAGAATTTCCAAACGGTCACAGCAGAGCATTCTGAGTGACCCTGCAGGGGTCACACACCAGGATCGGGACAAAGTGTCTCTGGGGACCATGGGATGCCTCCTCCCACGGCTCCAAGCTGACCGAGGCCCCACTGCCCTGGAGGACATGGGAAGAACTCCACCCTGGGAGCCACATGTGGGGGCCGCCTGCCGCCTAACGGACGACCGTGGCTCATACTTACAGATCAGAGAGGGTCAGGGGGCCCCTGTAAGTGACAGGCGGAACCCACCCACCTGGCAGCTGCAGAACGGCTGGTGGCCGAGCTGCCTTGCTTAGGCCAGAATCACGATGACGATAACAACATCAGACAGACAGAAGCGACCACGTGCTTATCCGCTGACCAGCACTGTGGGAGGCTCCCACGTGCACCATCCGCTCGTCTGGTTCGGAGCCACCCCCTGTGGTGAGCGGCAAAGGCGTCCCCGGGGCCAGCTCAGAGAGGTGCGGCGACTCATCCAAGGTCACACAGCGCCAGAGCCAGGCTACGAGTTGGAGTTTCAGGCCCCCAGCTAAAGCCGCCTTGGGATGGAGGAGAACGGGGCAGCCGGGCGGGGGTCTGCGGCAAGGCTGCCCGCACGCCACAGTGACGTGACGAGGGAGCTACTTCCTGGCACCCCAGCCCACCCAAGGGAGGCCCCCAGGTGGAGGCCCCGGCAGCTCAGCCAAGCAGTTGCTCCACGACCCGAGGGAATGCGCCAGCTGAGGGGGCAGCTGCTTCGGGCCAGGCCGCACCAACTACACCTTCGCTCCTCGGCAATGGTGGGGGGGCGGGCACCTCAGTGACCTGTCTGTGAGGGCTGACACACCCTTGACTCTAGGGACGGCTCGGCCAAAATCCTGGCTGGAGCTAGAGGAGGGATCTCACTGAGGATGTCGTGGACGTGGAAGAAAACAGCCTGGAGGCGGAGGTGAGCCCGAGGCCACTGCGTGAGCTCCTGGGTACAGCTGAACCTGCAGCTGGCCGCCCCCCGGCACTTTAATTACACGAACCAACGAACTCTCACGCTTACTCGAACCAGCTGGGGTTCTATCAGCCTCTTAGAATCAGAAGAGCATGAAGATGAAAAGCGGGGTGACCTTAGTCCCTCAATGCTCCCCCTTCCTGCAAGGTCTCGCCAAACCCTGTCAGCAAGTTCCGAGCCCAGCGGCGTCACGGGCTGGAGAAGGGAGGCCGAGGGCTCCCCAAAGAGAAAAGCCAAAGCAAGACTTCGGCAGAGGTCTGCAGTGTCTGTCCCCAGAACCAAAAGCCGGTGCCCGCCCGCCCGCCCGGGGACCACGGTACCTCGGAGGACAGTGAGCTTGGCGTGGACCGTGATCTCCCCGGCTGCGTTCTGGGCCACACACTCATACACGTTCTCGTCCCGGGGTGTCCGGAGCGGCTGGATCCTCAGCACGGCCCCCGCGCTCCCGTCAAACTCGATCGTCTGCCACGGTGAGGGACAGAAGGGCGGGTGAGGCCGGGGTTCCGGGGTCCCCGGGAGAGGGGCTGGGGGCTGTGCATGCCTGCATGTCGGTGTCCCGTGTAAACGCACTGGAGGCGGAAAACCGGGCCCGGATGTGAACGGGTAAAGGGCATCGTGTGTGTGAGGGTGTGTGACACGCACATGACGTCTGAGTAGCAGGCGTGAGAAGACGTGCCGGATGGGGAAACACGGCTGCCTGGTCACATGCGCGTGTGCAGAGTTGTGAACTCGCTCCCGTGAGCAGTGGCGCTGGGCGTGAGCCCGTGTGAGTGTGAGACAAGCCTCGGGGACACAGGGCCTTGCTCGAGAGCACGCAGCTCGACGGTGGCAGAGCGGCCAGCCTGGCAGGGCCTCGCTGGGCAGGCCGGTGGGGCCGCACGCCAGGGAGTGGGTGGGAGCAGGGGCCCGGCTGGGGAGGGGGCCCAGCCAGGCCCGCCCAGCCCCGGCCGCCGCGGGACATCTGGGGAGTGTTTCTGCGACGTCTTCTGTGTGAGCCGCCGTGGTCCCCTCTGGGTGGGGCGGGGTGCTGGCGCCCCGCCCCCAACTCACCTCGAAGCGCTGCGAGTTGACCTTCTTGCCCTTCTTGTTCCAGGTCACCCGTGGCTTGGGGTCACCCGTGGCCTGACACACAAAGGAGGCCACACCCCCCGACACACCGATCTGGTCCTTGGGTTCCTTGATGAACCTGGGGGGCTCTGGGGACAGAGCGGGAAGAAGAAAAGCTCCGATGGGCCCAGCATGCGGCCCAGGCCCCAGGGGGCCAAGCGAGATCCCTCGCTGGCCAGAGGTATCACGGGGCCCGGCAGGAGGGCTGGAGAGAGGAGGAGGAAGGTGAAGACATGCAGCTAATGAACGCCTCCCCCAACCAAGGCGCCCGTGAGTACCCCGGCTCTGCACAATCCCCCGCACCCCACTCCTGGGTGTAACAGCCGCACACACTCACTCGTGGACACAACCTCACGTGGGCTCGCCCGCTCAGTGCCACTGTGGACGGTGGAAAGGGAGACCCCCGAGATTCTGGGGGCCCCAAATTCAGCGCCTGGAGGCCCCAGGGGTGACCCGCCAAACCCTGGAGGGCCCCTCATAGCCCTGAAAAGACATGGGAGGAGATAACTCGGTCTAATCCTCTGGTGGGACTTGGGGAAACTGAGGCACCAAGCAGGCCCGTAACATCTGAGATCGGGAACACCCGACCCTTCCGACAGCACCAGAGGGCAGGGCCGTGACAGTCCCCACTTCGCACGAGAAAACAGGCACAGAGCAGATACGGCTGCGCTTCAGACACACGCAGCTGGCCAGCCAGCTCTGCACCGGGCCAGCAACTCTGCCCACAACGGCCTGATGCAGTGCGTCTCCCAGAGAAGGTCTCCACGGGAGCGACCGTGTCACTCACACCCCCAGACAGCCTGGACTCCCTGGAACCGCCGCAGTGTCCAGCCAGGGTTCAGAAACGTCACTTCCTTTATTGACATTTCCCAGTAACCTCTGAGCCGCCCAGAGGAAACGCTGGGTGTCACTCACCGTCAGGCTACAGTGTATCCCGTGAAATGAATTGTTACTTCTGAGATGTTCTCACTAACAGACTCAAGGGATGCACATGCTTCTAAGCTCCTGGGGGAATAACCTATGTACCCAAGCGAAGGGGCTGACGTGGCAAACGCTGGGCTGTCCACCAAGTGGCGTCCTAAGCGACAAGGGTGCCTTTTAAATGAACTACTAGGGAAGGAGCAGAAAGACATCACGCAGAATGGAG